CTTAAACTGCGAGTTGGAATGTACAGTCTTAACAGATTTGATAAATATGATGGTGCATTATCATTCAAACATTTGTGACATATTATGGTGGCCAACTTGTACACAAGTCTTTTCTCAACAGGAAGCCAATGCACTGTCCGTAAAAGAGGTTTAGCAGAGTCTCGCTTTCTTTTCCGTAAAACAAAACGTGCAGCATTGTTTTGGACAGTTTCAAGTCTTGTCACTTTCTCCTGTGATATTCCTGATAACAAGGAGTTACAATGATCGAGTTACAATAGACATTGTGAACGACAGAAATGCTACAGTACATAAAAAACAACAAAAACAAAACAATATCATCATCAACAACAACAACAACAACAACAACAACAACAACAACAACAACAAAAGCAACAACCCTCCCCCCAAAAAAACAACAACAACAAATAACAAACAAACGGACAAAAACAACAACAACAACAACGAAAAAGCCCTACAATAACAAAACAAAAACAACAAAAACAACAAAAAAACACACAAAAAACAACAACACAAAGACAAAAAAAAAACCCAGCTAAAAGAAAACTGAAAACGAACAGAAACAACAACAAATTGTCGGACCACTTCCAGATGAACAAGCAATCTACTGTTCAGTCTAATTAATCTAAGTTTGTAAAGTAGATAGAGGAACGTAACTTGAAATAGAGAACCTGCTCCTGGTTTGAAAAAAAAAAGAAGAAAGAAACGGAATCACATTTCTGCTATGAATGTGTAGGTGGAGACCTCTAAAAGTAGGTGGTTGGCGGGTGCTCTGGTGTGGCTTGCTGCTTCTTTCCTATCAAACATTTATCGTCTTTGTCTCCCCTCCTTATTTTTTTATGTTTGTCACTCTCCTATAACACATTTTATGACCTTATTGTGTTGCAGGCGCCGTAAATCTCTTACTAAAACTAAACTAAAACGTCTAAAATTAAAGTGAAATATTGTTCTCTATCGTTGTCGGACTTGGAAGAAATACCAAGAATAGAACAGGAATGACTGTGTTCGTCCAAGTAGAATAAATAGCTGCTAAAATGTCATCAATTTGAAAGAGGAATCTCGATTTGGCGGCTGCGATGGATCTAATACGGGGTGCCCACTACGGCTGGATCGGGCCAATCGCCCGACTCGGTCGCCTGAGACGTTTGTTTTTGAGGCGACTGAGTTTTGCGTTCGGCCCGATTGGCCGTTCCCGTCCGCAGTGGGCACCCCGTAATAGGAAACATCTCTCTTGTGCATTCGCTTCAGAAAGCTGTAATTAGTTCTCAGGCACTTATCGGGCCGATGGTAATTATATTCTTGTCTACTGCGACTGCTCATCACCGTCATTGCAATAACAGTTGCCCTTTTCCTGGTTTATACATGCACACACACGCGCGCGCGCACACACACACACACA